TGGAGAGGCTTGAAGTCATTTTCGCAAAAGATTGAAAGGTTCCTGTGCACTCTCGCCATAGTCATGTTTGGGGAGGTTTGAAGTGTCCACATCATTGATGATGTTGCTTTGATTGTCGTCTTTCTGATTATTTTGCAGATCTTTTATGACAGTCTCTGCTCCTACGTCTGCTTCTACTTCGCGGTTTTCATGGAATCACGCCTGGCTGCTCGGGGGGCTCAAACTCCGGTGTCTTCTCAGGTGCAATTGGGGGAGCCCTCCTGGTCCGCTGGTGGCGGGCAACAACTTCAGGGTCCCTCTGTTCGGCAGCCCTCTCTCCTTCTCAATGCCAATATGGTTGCGCCTAAGCGAGCCCCTGCAATGTCCCCTGGGCAGGTGCAGCAAGGCTCTTTGCAGAGGAGGGAAAAGGAAAGTGGCAGAATGCGGCCTGCTAGACCTGCAGTGGCGAGCCCTGGGTCAGACCACCAGTCTCCAGGGCGGCCGAGCAAGAGAGCTAAGGGAGGAAAAGGGGGTGCTGGGGGTAAAGGGAAGTCTGCTACCGTTCCTTTTACTGCGGCTCTTGATCTCGTGCCTCCTGCATCTGATCGGACAACATTGCCGAAAATGGAAAGTGCGTTGGTGCATCCACATCCGAAGAAATTAGGCGATGAGTCGATCAGCCTTCCCATGTCTTGTATGACGAGGCCACCGGTTGATACTCCAGATGGCAGACGCTCCAGGGAGATAAGAGAGCCCGGAGAGTACCAAGTCAGGGTCCTCATGACCTCTATGAAAAGGGCGCCTTGTGGGGACCATCTCCCGTTCGTTGGTATGATTGACCCTTCTCAGTGCACAGCTGTAGATCAGGTTGACAAGCAGAAACTCAGAGAAGGGGGTTATACTGTGTGGATCCTTGGTGGTGGCCATTCTCGAGAAGCCCGCAGTAGGCTGATGCTCAAACACCCCACCGTGGATTTTTACAAAAGATACACATGCTACGTGTATGTCGGCCTCACTGTGGAAGAGGCGATTCTCGTCGGGCACGAGCACAACCGTGCTGCAGGGTTTCACAAGCAACTCACATTTGTTCAAAGAATGCGTTGTTGGAGGCAGACTTTTGAGAAGTTGGGCTGTGACAAGACTCTGGAGGTCAAGAAGGCTTGCTTGGAGACTTTTGGTCTGAAGGCAACCTGTTGGGACCAGGTATCGAACTAGGATCCTCAATTTCAAATCTGCATGCGGGGCGCTGAGGTCTGGGCTTTGATGTCTGACATTTTTTACCTTTGAGAGGAGGCAAAGATAAAGGATGTGAAGATGAAGAGGAGGGTAAGAGGGAAAAAGGTAAAGTCCATTCATGCAGCAGACTTGTCGGTAGGCCACGAAAAAAAGGGTGAAAGGCCGAAGAGGAAACAAATTGATATGTGTGAGCAGAGATTGTCGTTGATGGCCCTCAATCCGGGGATGTACGTAACTGAGAAAAAAAGTCGTCAACGAGCCAGCGGATATGCCATATAAGCCCTGGCTTATGATGGCTGCACTTGACGACGTCGTCGTCATCCCTGTCCTCACCGAGGTTAAGAGTGGAATTTTGTCCCTTGATGAGATGGCGGAGAAGTTCAAGATCCTCAAAACTCGTCAAAGGACAGCAGCCGCTTTTATGAAGGAGGTGGGGGTAGAAAGCTGGGAGAAAGCCAAAGAGGAGTTCCCAGTTCACGCACAAGAGGCGATGCTATCCCAGTACTATGGCCTGTTTGACAAGAATATCAAAGGGACCCCGCGTCCTATGCAGCTGTATGCGGCCAAGGCCCTTAACTACAGGGATAAGATTTCCCAGCACGAGCAGCACGCAGCTCGAACACAAGATCCTGAGGGGTTGCTTGCTGACTGGGTTTCGTTTGAGGGGGAAGGCTACAAGGGGAGTGTTAAGGTGATGCATTGTGACATGCTTCAGCTGAGTGACAAATTGGAGGATAGGCTGCCGTTCACTCTATGCATCTTCGACTTCCCTTGTGGATATGATGCCGATGGCTCTGCTCACGATGCGGAGCGCTTCACGAAGCCTCAGATTGAGGCGTCCGTGGAGAACTTCAAGAAGATCACCTATTCTCCTTCCTGGGTGCTTGCAGGCTTCTGCTCTACTGACATGCTCAGCGATGTCACATCTGTGTTTTCTGCTGCATGCAATGCTGGGGTGGAGGTGGGTGTTTGGGTTGCTCCCAATGTTGCTTCTCCTGGTGGGCTCAAGTTCACTAACTGTTGGCAGCACTATGTTCTTGCCTTTCACAATGACAGCGGAACTAGGGAACCCCTGCAGTTTCAATTCAATAATGCTGACTCAAGGTTGAATTGCTGGAGTCACAATGCAGTGACCAAGAAGTATGTCTTTGCTGCAGACAACGAGATCCTTTGTCCGTACCAGAAACCTGTCACGCTGTATGAGTGGCTCATCACCAAGTTCTCTGACCCGAATGACTCGTATATTGTAGATGCATTCTCTAGGTCAGGGACTGGGGTTGTTGCAGGGCTTCTCTGCAAAAGGAATGTCTTGGCTGTGGAGGTTGATCTGCGTTGTGTGAGGGGGATCAGGGCCATGCTAGCAGGGAGGGACTTCCAAGAGAGTGCAAAGCAGGAAAAGGAGAGCCCCAGCCGGACAGTCGCAGAAGGCTGGAGACATGCTTAGTCTGTTTGCACAGTCTGGTTTTCATTTCTATGCTTGTCTTCAGATGTTCCATTGCATTTCATGCTCACTTATTTGTATGGGGGCCTGATTCGAGAGAGCTTCTTTATTGACTTTCGATTTTCATTGCAGAGTTGCTGTGACGTTTGTTTTCACAAGGACTCTAGATGCATTTCCTTTGTGATTTTTTTTTTTTCTTTTTTTTTTTTTTATTGCTCATATGTGGCCCCCCCCAATGCATGCATGCGGCTGGGGGGCCGCCATACACGGGGGGCCCATACATGGGGGGCCACGATACATGAGGGGGGCCGTGCATGTGTGCACCTTACATGAGGGCCTCGCGTATACGGGTTCCCCCATACATGGGGGGCATTGGGGCCCCCCATGCATGCAGCCCCCCCCAAAAAAAATGCATGTGTGGAGGCCATACAAACATGCGGGACCCCTATGCGCGGGGGCCCATATATGCCTCACATAGGGGGCCGGCACATATCAAGATATAGGAATTGGGGGAATGGTTAAACGGGTTCCCTTGTGCATAGGGGCCCACACATGTCAGGGCCCCTCATATGGGCATCCCCCCTGCATGCACAGGCCCCCCTCTAGACATGCATGCGGGCCCCCCCCCATATATATGGGGGGCCCTCTATGCGTGCGCCCCTCCCTATGCATGCAGGGACCCCTGCACACTGGGCCCTTTTCCTGTTTCCTTGTCTTCGCATCTCCATTGGGGATAAGGCTTCTTACAACGAAAACAGTGGCTGTTCTCAAAATTTCTATAAAAACCGTTTCTTTTTGTTTTTTTTTTCAACAAGCTTTTTCGTTTTGCTAAAAATAGGTTTTCCTCAAAGTTGCGATTCAACAAGCTTTTTCGTTTTGCTAAAAATAGGTTTTCCTCAAAGTTGTAATGACATACGAACCTCGAGACACATTGCGTTTGGCCGAAAATAGTTTTCTATAGAAAACATTGTGGACTTTGCAAACTGGACTTTTTTCTTGGTCCACTTTTCACAAATAGCTTGTTAATGCTGGTTATGTTCATTGCATTTGGGGTCTGAACGATTATTTGAGGGGTGTGACCGACGACTTAAAGGGTTCAATAATTTTTTTAGGGGTCGGAGTGTGACATAAGAGGGGTTGAAACTAGTTTCGGGGGTGCGCACTGTTAGCTGGGGGTGTGTCTAACCTCTGTAAAAGTCGGAGCCTGACAGCAAATTTTAGAGGAGAATAACTCAATAACCCCTTTGCTGCAAAACGTTCGACCACGTATCTGACTGCAATGCTGGTTATGTTCATTGCAAACTGTTGGATCGTGTGAACATGCCCTTACCTTCCTTTCCTGAACACAATGTCCCACTGTCATGGATGTATTTGGACCAGAACAGGGTTTGTATTCATTCCTTTCTATGGGTCTGTTATGTTCGGGAGAAGGATGCACTGAACATGAAACTCGGCGTAGAACATTCGATCGCGAACATCACATAAACCGCCACCAGCATTCGCAGGCAAACTCGAAACACATATACACATATACACTATACAATGTATACAGTGTGCACTTCATTCTTCAAAGGCAGGGCACCACCGGACCAGAGTGGCTGGCGCCGCCAGCCAAACAAAAACAAAAAAGTCGTGCTGGTGCTTCCGCAGAGCTTGGCGCACAGTTCTTTTCCACCTCGGACAAAAAGAGGCTCAGAGGTAGTGGAGGTCTAACAAGTATAATTCCGCCGGAATCCACCGTGTGGCAAATGTACCTTGCAGCTGCGGCCTCGACGTAGTTTTGAAGAATGAATTCAACTCCGTATTAGACCCCAAATTAGACCCCAAATGTACGGTTCAGACCCCAAATTCGAATTTCAGGCTCAAGGTCCTAGGCCAAGAAAGGCCAGGTCGGTCAGTTTCAGAGAAGTCACAGGTCACAGGGTACCTTAGGTCCTTAGGGGTCAAATCGAACAGGCACCCGAATGAACAGTCACATCGCAGGCAAAAAAGTCACGTCTCATATTAAAGAGTCGTATTGAAAGTCACATTCTATACCTTTCTCGGCCTTTGGCTAAGATCAAGTGTAGTATCTGTTCTGATTAAAAAAAAAAAAAAAAGTCACATCGCACAGGCAAAGGACACTTCCCCAGGCGAAAGTCGAAAGTCCCAGAAGAGGCAGGAGTCACAACCCACAGTCAAAAAAGTTATGGGTTCCACAGATGAAAAGTCGCGACTCACAGGCCCAAGCAGCAGCACACCGATGAAAATTCGGGAAAGGCACCAGGCCCTGACATGCTGAAGCAGACGGGCCGTGGGGATGTGGTACCAGAACCAAGTCGAGCCCCAAGAAGCGGACGCGGGAACGAGTTGAAGCTCAGTCCCAGTCTATACAAGGACTGGCCTGCCTCCTCATTGGGCAGATTGCTCATTCGCACGAAGTGTGGGAGTGCTGGTGCCCTTGTGCGCTATTGTGAGGAGCGAAGCGCTGAGCCAGGGAGCTGCGCTAGTAGAGGGAGAGAGAGGGAGCAGCCATAGCTGCCCCAGCGCTGGCAAAGGGTAGGCAGCTATAGCTGCGCCAGTGCCTAGTGGTTAGTAGTAGCCCTCAAAGGGATTAGTAGAGCTAGCTGTGGGTGTATTCAGAGTTGGTCCTTCAGTAGTAGAGAGTGTGAGTGCATGCAAGTAGGGAGAGAAGACACGCGGAGGTAGTAGACAGAGAGAAGACCGAGAGAGAAGAGAGACGAGCATTGAGGGAGATACTGGTTACTTGGGTTTGCGCTCTTGAGCGCTTGTGACTGGAACCCTTAATTGCGCATATGATAATTTGTTGGAGATTCTAAGGCTGCGCTTACCTGGTCTTTGTCTCTCTGGCCTCCAGTGCGAACTTCGTGTGATCTCATTCGTGCATGGTGTGTGGATTGTGTGCGCTCATTGGTGGGGAACTGAGAGGTTCATTGCAACTCGCACTTACGGAAGAAACCCAAAAAAAAAAAAAAAAAAAAAAAAAAAA